TTGGACTTGGATTATGAAGATGAGTTGTAGGAAATGTCTTTCTCTTCAAAATGAGCTTTGTATGGAATTTTTCTGATAATCCATGTGAGAGTTATGCCCTGGTCAATTTACAGTTGACTTTTTCAGCTGTCCAAATAAGGAAACTTTTGCATCTTGATGATTTTTGAGCCAAACTTTGAGAATCATGATCAAACATTGATCAAATGATGTTTGTGGCTTCAAAATGAGATGTTGACCAAAAATCTGGACTTTTGACTGTCAAATGACCATTTTGCCCCTACAGTTGACTGTAGTGCAATTAGGGTTTTGACTGTGCAATTTTGTGCTGAAAGTCTTGAAACTTTGTATGAGGATGCTTGACCATATTTGTAGGCATGTGGGACTTGATTGGACCCTTGGAAACTTCATTTTCTTGATCAGGACCAAAACCCTAATTTTGACTGCTTAGGAGACCCTTGCACTGTGCAACCCTTGAGGAATTTTGAAGCATGACTTGGCAATTTCTTGAAGAATATGGGAGGGCAAATTTTGGGGTACAACAGTAACCCTCACCCACTCTTCAGCAATATGCCTCAAAGCAGCTCTGGATACCGATCCATGCAAATTACCATAAAATGGACTAGTGTGTGCATGTTCAACTTTATAAAAACTCTTCTAAAATCAAGCTCTAATGTTTCCCAATTGTATCTTGAGATTGTCACCTAAATTGTTCTCCAACATCTACTTCAGTTTCCAATGCACGGACTCAACCTTTAAAATAAAATAAAAAAACAAGTAAGTAAATGTAATATTAATATAAACAAACTATGGCTAAAATCAAGTAATATTAAGATAAACATATATATTAGTCGTGGTGTTGCCCAAATACAGCACTTGATTGATCCATGCTTCGACAAATCTATACCTATGCAGAGTCAACCACGTATCTTTTACATAATCAATAAATACTTTAAAGCCAACGCATATATGCTCAAGTTGTTGCAACTAAAATAATCAAAATTGAACCGAAGATTAAATTAATATAACTAAAGGTTTAAGATTTTAAGATTTAATCGGAATTCAACCGAGGTCGGACTAGTAATAATCAAAATATATAATTTTTTAACGTAATATATAGACAACAAATAGCTAACAATAAGATATGTATAATATAAAAATATATATATTTATTTAGTAACACTTTGAAGAAAGAAAAGATAGAATGTTGATGGAGTTTATAGGAGAGAAGTTGATGAATTTAGCAACACCAAATCAAAATTTCATCAATTCCATTGATGCCAAGATGCTGAGATTGCTAAGCTATGGTGGCTGCACTCTCCAGTAAAAAAAAGTCGTTTAAAACTAAAAAATAAAGGTTAACTAGTATATTATATCATATCAGGAATTGGATGTCAAAAAGTTGAACTGTAGTAGGATTGAAGATAGCCAATGATTAATGTTTATGCGTTTTTTTTTAAGTTTAATTTAAATAAAATTGAAAATATATTTTTGATATAAATTAAAAATATATTCTCGATTCCTAATAAGGTTGCATAGAATATGATTAAATTTAACTCAAGTCTATGATTTTGGTTTTATATTAAACTATTCTCTAGAAGTTATTGTGAGAAATTTGAGAGCAGAGAATATTGCTCTCGATTTGGTTACATCCAATGTTTGCTTTATCTCCTGTTTTAAATATTGAAATTTTTGTTTTCGATCCTCATGTTGTAGTTTTCACAAACACACCACTAATTGCTTTGTCATCTCATCGAATAAGAACAAACATATATTGCTGGTTTCCTTGGAAGGTGTGTTATACTTTGATCTTGAAAGTTTTCATACATATGAAGATGTTTTTTGTTCTTATTCTAGGTGGTTCGACTGGCTTCATTTCAGCATGCTCTTTCAGTGCCACCTTTACTATTGTTACCAAAACAGTCTAGAGTTTATTAGGAGTCGGAAATGTATTATTTTTAAAATAAATTTTATCATAAAATTGAATAAATCTCAAATGAATTATATGTGAATGGAGGTGTGAATTAGAAATATATTTTTAATTTTTAAAAATATTTTTGAAGAATACTAAAAAAATATAAGATGGAATAAAATCCTCTAAATAAAAACTTTGTACGATGAAAATATCAAATTAACTCACTAGAGATCAATTTGGGCCTTGAATAAATAATACGAGAGGTCCAACATAGTTAAAGTGAAATGATACTGCAGTTTCACTTTTGTTTACACTTTAATAAAAAATTTAAAGTAAGTTCAAAATTTTATTCAGGTAATCAAATCGACAATGTTTCCATTTTTTTTTTGTTTTTTCGTTCAAAATTCGGTTTTGTCTAGGCGGTTTTAAGATGCATATAATTCGGATTTAGGTACGGTTTTCAGTTTAATCGGTTGGATTGGTTGATTTGGTCTAGTTCGGTTTTAATAACTTTGGTTGCAAATGTTGATGGTACTCCACCTCATCACTAGTTCTTATAAGTTTATGTCACATTTTCTTTACCGGATCTTGCACGTCATCCACAATATATTCGTTACACTCTGATTTCACGTTTCTGTTGATGTGAAAGACAAAGTAAATTAATTGTCTTTAAAAATACTATTTCAATTGCTTTCATCAAAGTAAGATCTTTATCACTCAAAATCACATGTGGCCAAAACCTCTGCTTAGCAAACAACTATTTCAACTTATCTAATATTTAACAAAAATTCTCTGTCTGCGCAGATTCCATATATGCAAATGCAACAGCAAATGTTAACTCAGTTGATATCAAACCAACTATTTCAAGCAGGGGTTGCCTATACTTGTTTGTCTTGTATGTGTTATCCATAATCAACATAATAGAAAACATATTCAACAACTTCATTGATTTTAGATGGGTCTAGAAAATATCTCTCACAACTTCCGACTCATCTTTTTTCCTACTCCAATAAACATAATTTGAATCCTCTATCAGCTTAAACAAATATTGCATTTCCGTTCTAAGACCCCGTATATCTTTATGTAACTTACTCTTATGTTTATATATTTGCGTGATCTGAGTGTCATCATCTGAATCTCGCTCTTGCAACGAGAAGAGTATGTGTCTTGGTGGAACATGACATTTTGTCAAATCAACAATATTTTATTGTTCATCTGTATTTGGTCGACCTACAAATGTGTGACCTTCAAATGTACCAGATAACCCATGGTTGTGAAGTCCACATTTTATATTTATCTTCCATCTAGAACCATCTTTTGACGGTGTTGACCTAACTTTGAAAGGACAACCACATTTTTTTCTGGCCTTTTGTGTTTCACTATCTCCTTCTTTGTATTTTCCACCTCTATCACAACCAAATATCACTTTATCACTTATTCCTCTCTTACATGTTTTGGTATCTGAACAAGTTATTTTAATTGTCACTTTATTCCTGATTCCAACCTTCGTAATCTACCTTATTGTCTTTTCTCTTGTAACAAATCGTTGTGTTGATGAAAATATATTAATGGTATCTACACATGTCTGATTTTTATCACATATCAAAGGAATATCATACATGTTTAACATAATTAAAAAAAAAAAGAAAAAAAAACACCGGAATACCAATATAAAAAGAAATTCGATTGATACAAAAATCATAATTGAATACATTAATTAATGATTTTCGATTGATAAATATCATATATCAAAAAAACTCAAAGTTAAGTTATCCGATTAATAATAACAAACCAGAATACATCTACTCCCAATTAATAAAATGTAAACTAGATTTTATATATCAAAGAATTTCGATTTAAGAAATGAGCACACCTGTCAATTTTAAATATCTCAGATAAATAATAAAAAATAAAATAAGATAAACTTGAAAATATTTTGAAAAATTATAAAGATAACGGGATAACTGGACTAGTACAGGATAAATTTTTCCTTACTTGGTCTTGATCTAAAAGCTCTAAGGTTACATGTTCTTATGGGTAGTTGTGAGCATTCATGTCGGTCCATGAGGAAATATATATAATATTAGTTTGAAGAAAAAGGGCTCATTATTAAAAATTGAAAATTAAAAATGATCTTCATTTAAAAATGTTTTAATAAAGTTCATTCATATCTTTTCATTTGTTTACAACTCAAACTACCATAATTTAAAAGTTTGCTTATATAGTCTCTACAAGTATTAAAAATAAATTGACCTCAATCTTTGTAAAAACAAAATTTTAATTTTTAGACTTCAAAACTTTTTATTTTTGGTCCTAGCATTTGATTTTAATTCTCAATTTATTCATATTAAAATTGTTACAATAATATTCAATTGTAGTCGCTCAATTGTTACTTTAAAATTTTTACCAATTAAATATTTATTTTATTATGAAAAAACTTAAACTTTCTTCACTTAGAATCCTAATTGTAACTTGGATCTAAATCTAAAATTTTATAATTGAAAAGTTATATCATTTTACACTGGCTTGGCGGATACTTGTGTTAACATGACCATTGTAAGTCACAAGATCAGTTTTTACATGAGACTTAATTTTGCATTTCCGTTATGTAAGATACAAAATTGATCTCATAGTAACAAAAATGACTCATCATAAAGTCGAAGATTTACTCCACCTGCAAAAACAATTATTACCACATGCAGCTATGTTCCCTAAAATGAGAAACAAAACAAGATCAAACACTGCAGAACCTTTGGTCACTATGTTCCTTATAATGCTGGATCAAGTTCAACCAGAGTTGCTAACCCTAACACAAATCTATCAAATAATCAAAGTTCACTGAATTTTCTTCTTCTCACTCTACTACTCTGAAGAATAATACTAACAATTACAAATTATGGTACCATAATCTATGTACACAACGCATACATTGTTGCAAAAGGTCTCAAAGTATGTCATTTCAATGTCTGTACTGCTCTCAAAGGCTTCTGATCCCACCAGCATTACCGAAGGATGCAATATATCGAACAAAATTTTCAATTAGTTGTTTTGCCTGCTCCAGTGGAAGAATGCCTAAAGATCAACTTTATCAACTGTTCAGCTCACCTGACTAGGAGTGGAAGGAGATGACTATTAATAGCTAGTGAAACATTATTTAGCAGTTGTAAATCAACAGTAAGGCACGGTGCTAGGGTGGATAATATAAAACTTACTATTAGTTCCTCCAAATTCAAAGGCTTTGAAGAGTCAACTGAGAATCCCAATTCTAACATTAACTTTTCCAAGCGATTCACATTTGTCAAATAGAGATAGCCAACCTAGTTTATAGGCATATGCATTAGAGAAGAGGCTGAAAACAATTTTCAGATTATAAAGGAAATACAATAATACTTAGTTTCAGACCATTCCTATCAAACAATCTGATCTTCATAACAAAAGGAAAGTATATTAGATGGAGATCTAGCAACACACAAAAGGAAAGTATGTTGCAGTTGTCATCGCCACTTTAGAGTTAAACAAATATAGAAAGAAAACTCCCAAGAATCAGATTAGTATTTTATAGAAGATTTATATTTATTGAAACCAAAATCCGAACTCACTTACTAATGTTTCTAGTGAAGATGCCCTGTTATATACAGCTGAACCAGCCCGCTTTTTTGTCTTAGTTTTGCTTGAAACAATGTTCTTTCCCCATCGAAGAACATCCCTGAAATAAAGTTTATCGGAAACTATTAGGTCATAATAGGAATGAACAGATCTCCCGTGATTACCAACTCTTATCAGGTTGGGAGTGTCTAATCCCCAACTGACATTTTCTTCTGTCTCATGGTTCCATGTACCCAAAAGAATGTTTGCTTTTTTGCAAAGTTTAGTGCATATTGGCTTCATCTAATCATTATCGTGTACCATGTACCAACCATGAGACAGAAGAAAATGTCAACTCAAATATAGCATCAAATTTAAGCACGAATGGGTCTTAGCTACAGATGAAGCCAAAAAATTACTGAGAAATTTCAAATATGTACCAATACAGTTCTAAACACTCCTGGTACAAAGTAACTTTGAAGCAAGCCAAAACATCCTCAAAGACCTAATGCACTGCAGCATGCAAAAAGCATAAAAGCATCTTCTTTAATGCTTAATCGATATTGTTCATATTGATTTCATAGTTAGACGACTTACTATATTGCACAGCCTTATTTCAACTATATTTGGATGTTTTTTCTCTAATTAAATAGATTTCGTGCTTACTTTACATAATAAATCATTAGAGGGAGACCTAGAAAAATTATAAGAGAAGTTATTAAGAAAGATCTCGACATAAACGATTTGGATAGAAGCATAGTCCTGGATTGAACATTTTGGCGAAAGTTGATCCATGTAGCTGAACCCACTTAGTGGGATAGAGCTTGGTTATTGTTAATGTTACTCCTAACCAACACTATAAGGTGATATATGCTCTTAACATTTCTGCTTGCATCATGTTAATTATCGTCCCTTTTGAATGACATCGGTTAAGAATCTCACATTGGACAATATATGAGTTAGGCCCAATCACAATTCTATGAACAGCCACCAAAGTTCTCACTAGCATATCATCTTGAAGAGAAAAACCTATCATACTTTCAAAGGAAGCTGCTACCCAACCAGCGAGCTAGCAACCATTCAAATTCTATAATTTAATTACACATTATTGAAAATCACAAGATATACATGCAAAGACTCAACAATCATGATGTATAGTGGTAAACGTTTCTAAAGCATAGAACTTCAAGATAGAGGCAAACATTCATTTTCTTATTTTCCCACAACAAGGATAAATCTTCATATGGAATTTAAGTTCACTTGTTTGCAAAATTTTGATCCTCCAAATTTATAATTGGAGACTAGGATGCATTTAAAATATAAACTTCAGTTAAAGAAAATATCATAAGCAGATAAGACGATTGTTTATTTCAGAATCTTCAAAAGATAAAACCCCATTAAATATTATAATAAGGAAAAAGCTAACATGTGCCCCAAGGGCACAAGTTAATAAGTTATTTATAGAAATATTCTCTTGGAACGCGTGCATTCAATGCTTTGAAACTTTAAATATGATTTTATTACATTTAATTACATTTAAAATTTTCTAATTATAGTATCCTTAACATGTGCCCTTAGGGGCACATGTTAGCATGACCCTTATAATAAATATGAAAAACAGGTGTGTTTTGAGGGAAGGGGGTGATAAGACAAAACCCTGAAAGTAAAAATTCTAACCTCTCTTGATCTGATAAGAAGTTACTGTTTAAAAGCTTCTGAAGCAACTGATCCTGCAAAAAATAAAAAAGGACAATACACAACGTAATTAGATTAGAAACATGTTCTTGTTGTTGTTAATAAGTCATAATAAATCAAATCCAACTGGACATCACTGGCTGGCTGAAGCAAAACTCGTGTTGTTTTGCTTCCTTGACCAAACTTTTAGTTTAGAAACAAGGAAAAGAATAGAAGCAGAAACTGATATGAAAAGGACAGAAAAAAACTTACAGTGAAAAAAGCAAGAGTATGACGTTCAGACAATGAAAAACCTTTCAGTAAGTTCAAACTTAGGGAAAACTACTGAGTAATTAACTATATGATTTGATTATGAAAATTCAGTATCAAAGTGAATTACCCTTGTTCCACTTTGAAATTGAACGATGTCTTTTTTCGCTATTAAAAGTGTAATTCATGTTTCATAAGCATAATCCATGAATTTCCTTTGTTCCCACTTTGAAATTGAATGATGTCTTTTTTCGCTATTAAAAGTATAATCCATGTTTCATAACCATAATCCATGATTTACTTCTGGTGACAAAAAGATTAGCAGCCCAATCATAATAAAATTATTCTTTCAAACAAACTATTAAACAATCTCATGGATATAAATCTATACACGGCATACTTAGGATAAAAAGCTCATGAATTGTCTAGTAAGTACCAGACTTGAGAAGGGGAGATCTATAACATCAAATCGAACAAGAAAAATAATTTCCTAAACCTCAATTAGGGTGACATGACATGAGTTTAAAATGGATATAACATTGTAAAATTGTAAAATTGCACAACAAAATACGTTAATATGAATTAATACACAATGAATCGCAACATACATTTTCTGTGTCCATCTTTCTACTATTAAATGTAAATATCATAAATAAAAAACAAAGTAGGGAAGGAAATAATCATACTTGAGCCTCACAGCGGACCACAGCCGTCACACGATCATTGTATTCTTCAATACTAAGGGGAGGAAATAAAAAGTGCCTACGAGCATATAGCTACAAGTTTCGGAAAGAAAAAAAAAACAGAATAAGATACGAATAAACCATCAATTTAATCTCTAAACTAATACTCTCTCTTCAATGTTGTCTCTAAACTATATCAATCTAGTACATGAAACAACTAGTTCTAAAATATATGAAATATATCAAATTAGTATCTGAAGTATATGAAAACTGGTCAGTAGGCATCTTAATTTTTTTAGAAATTATAAGAATCTGGAGGGACACCTCAACCACGGCCCCAACACCGACACAATGACACTGATAATATTTTTGATAAAATTATAAAATAAACGTAATCACAAGCGTCAGTACACATATGCACATTTATTTCACTGGTGTTGGTAAGATTTTTTTAACGAATGCAATTTACATAAGCAACTAGTATACAAATCTTAGACCTAATTTCATAAAAAAAAAAAAAAAAAAAAGGAGAACGGTAAAAATGACCTCATAAATGCCATCACCGATATATGCTAAGGAAGTAGCATTAAACACGGAACGAGGCTTGACGACTTTAGGTGGAGTTGGAAGCCATCTTTCATAACCTAAATAGGTATCGGTTTCATCATCTTCGATATTTGCTGCAAACGAAACGTTAATTGAAAATGAATTGAAGCTAATTGAAGAATGAAAAAGAAGAATAGTGGAAAGTCAGTTACCTGAGGTGGGAAGAGGAGTGTCGCGTTTGAGAAGATCGGAAAAGTACTGTTCCTTGCGCGGAGAAGGTGGCGGTGATGATGTGGTGAGAGGAGGAGGTTGAGTTTTGTTGGTGAGTTTTCTGGGAGCGTTGGGGTTGTAAGGGAGTCTATGCTGTGTTTGTGTGTCGTATGCGGCTTTTACTGGTTTGAATTTTGATGAAAATGGAATTGAACATGATAGAGAAGAAGATAAACCTTGCATTCTTCTTTTCGTTCTGGTTTTTCCTGTGAATCAATTGATGAATGGATATTTTATTCTTTTTTCGAAATTTTACCCAATAACTTTATCCAACTTAATGGATAATTGTAATCACACTACACTATTTACATAAATGTTATTTGATAAATGTTTTAAAACCCGGATCCGACCTCGATGAGGTGTTAACATATTTAGTAGAGATATTTATGGTTCAGTTTGGATCGATTTTAAAGTAAAAATTCATGCAATTCAAAGATAAATTCACTTGCGATTCACTTTGGTTTTGGATGATATATTAAAAAAATCTAATCCGATCTGATCTAATTTTATACGATTTAATTTGGATTATCAATATTATAAAACTACTACTAAATCATAAATTATTGATTTGATATAATATATAACATATAGTGTATTAAAAGTTAATATTACAAAATGAGAATGATCGATTATGGTTGAAATAATAAAAATAAATAGATTATGTCAAGCTAATAAATATTATTAAAAAAATTATTATCATCTAATAATAAATTCACATAACATATCATATTCATAAAAAGCTAATAAGTATATGTATGCGGTTCGGTTTAGTTTGGATCGATTTTGAAAAATTCATCAGAAATTCAATCCGAACCGATCGGTTTTCATAAAATGGCATCCAAATACATCCAATAAATTTCAATTTTTTGCGGTTTTCAGTTTTTTGGATCAGTTTTCGATTTTCTATTTGGATTGGTTTAGATTTGAACACCCTTATTATTTGTTTCCAAATCCTGACCAACTCATAGATTTTAACACCGTCAAAATCTTCATATCCCGCAATTTGGTGCCTACATTGCTAGGAGATATCTTACACTCTTTTCACACTCGCACAATGAGGAAAGGAGGTGTCCTTATGCGTTGTACTCCTCTCTTGGCAAGATGGTTTATTTCGCATCTTCCCCAATCTGTATTAATAAATGAGCAAGGTTCAAGGTGGTCACAAAGGTTGATGACGCTCAAACATTCAGATATTCATTGGTGCTCCCGATCCAAAGAGAATGTTATCATTATCAACCGTTGTGGAGAATTCCCTGACGTATATTTACTTGGTATTAGGGGAGGTATCACCTACAACTCATGCTTAGCCTTAAGACAGTTTAGTTACGCCCGAATGGATGGTCCGCACGAGATGTTGATTCAACGTTTGATATTTTACTACGACAACGACGATCAAGGTCTTCGCCAGAGATTTATCCGAGCTTGGAGGATGTTGAATAAGGTGGATAGCAAGACTTTGGGGCACAAGAATTCCATCCCTCTTGAGCCTTACCTCAAATGGGTACGAACTCGCGCTCAGAGTCTTATGATGCATTACCCCTCCATTCTCCCGGTAATCATTGAGCCTGTCATGGAGGGAGATGTTCCATACATTATCCTACATTCTTATATACCCACCTCTCTGGAAGAGTTACAAAGAGATTGGATACAACTCAAGGGGGAGCGAGATACTTTCGAAGCCCAATTCTACGCAAGCGATAAGAAGGTTTTGGAACTCACTAGACTACTTCATGAGGAGTAGACTCTGAATGCCTACATCGCACCAAAGAGGATGCGCACTGCCTTTTTATCTTAGAGCTTTTGTATTTCCTTATAAGCCCAAGAGGCATTGATGTACTCAAGCTTTAACTTATTAATATAATGTGTGTTTCATTTTTGTCTAAAACAATTTTGAATCTTAAAATCCTTGATATCATTACATATGCATATACCATTCATCATAATATAAGCAGGTCTTTTGCAACAAGTCTCCTCATCTCTCTATTATTTATTTCAGTAAGATGGATCTCAAGCAAATAGTGAAGGACCTCCAAGATCAGAATACATAGTTTCAACAATTGCTTTTGACCCTAGCCAAAGGACAAGAAGAGTTGAAGACTTTGCTGGTTGAGGAGGAGAAAAAGAAGACAACGAAGGTGATCGGAGTCCTAAACATGGGAAGAAGATTTCATGGGCAGACAAGAAGGACCTTAGACTTTGCAACTACATCCGGTGAGAGAGACAATCAAGATGGGAAAGGCAAGGAAACAGTTGTCCTGTCAGAATCGGAAGAGGAATAGGAAGAAGAAGACTATTCTGAAGAACAATATCCTCCAGCTGATGACAAGTATAAACATCTCAAAGAGCGATTGAGTGCAATGGAAATCCAAAAAGTGTCTGGCTTGGACTTTGAGGAATTGAGGTTAGTGTCGGGGATTGTCATTCCTCAGAAATTCAAAGCACTTGTGTTTTCCAAGTATGACGGAGTCTCATGTCTAAAAATGCATCTCTGATCCTATGTGAGGAAAATCCAACCTCATACCGCTGACAAAGACTTATGGGTACACTTCTTCCAAGACAGTCTGTCTGGAACTCAACTTGACAGGTTTTACCAACTAGAAAGAGCTAACATTCACAACTGGGAAGATCTTGCTGCAGCCTTCTACAAACAATACCAATACAATGCTGACCTTGCACCTACCCGTACTCAACTTCAGAGTATGGTCATGGCTTCAAATGAAGGCTTCAAGGACTATGCGCAAAAATGGAGAGATTTATCCGGAAGAGTTCAACCCCCTATATCTGAGAGAGAGAGTTGGTAGACATGTTCTTTGGCACCTTGTCTGGTCCCTTCTTCAATCATTTAATTGGAAGTTCATCGGTGGGTTTTACTGAACTGATATTGACCGGAGAAAGGGTAGAAGCTGGGATAAAGAGTGGAAATATTCCGAAAGATACATCCTCTGCTGCCATAAGGAAGCCATTTATCGGAAAGAAATAAGTGGGGTTGTTGTTTATCCTCAGAGAAATCAAGATAGGGCCGAACGCCGACCAATGGTTAGGGGCTGTTATGATTCCTAAATCGGCGCCTGATCAACAAAGAAACAACGAATCAAGGATGGAAAGATCAGCCAGGCAGTTCACCAGAATCAACATGACCCCATCTCAGGTATTACCGCATTGTGATACGGTGGGAGAACTGACTTGAGGTTTTGCGTTTGTTTTCGCAAATGTTTCGGTTGAGCAAGAGTCGCCACCGACTTTTTATTTTATCCTAAGGAAAGGTTAAAAAGCACAGCAAAAAAACCTTTTGAGATGTTTTCTTGGGTTCGGGGAGTAGATTATAGAAAGGGAAGGTATTAGCACCCTTTCTATCCATGGTTATCCATGGGCTCTTAGTTACTTGCTTAGATCACTTGCCTTTTGTTTTCAATTGTTTTAAATGGTGCTTGAGTGTGTGCGGGTTTGAAAATGTTTTGAAAAGAGGCCAATGTGGTGGCAACCTTTGTAATGATCCATGTGGGGATGTGTACAAAGATGTATGTCTTTTGAAAAGGTTTTCATTTGTTTTTTTGAAAGTTGTTTTGAAAGTGTAGTGATGTGTGGTTTTTGAAATAGGCAAGTGTTTTAGTTTGCAAGATTGATTCAAGTAACTAAGAGGTCATCTACTCCTAAATTTCTCAAAAGATTATTGCTATGTTTTAACCCTTTTAACAAGTTTGTTCCACCATTGTATTTGGTGGACAATCTTATGTTTAGGATGTGAAAGGGACGGGCGTGGGTCATCGTTTAGACCATAATTGCAATGGTGCCAAGTATCTTTGGGCATTTTCTTTAAGGGACTTGATCATTTGTTTTGGAAGTATTTTGAAGATGTTATCGAGGGACTATGATCATTCAATTTGTTGTTTTGCCCAAAGAGACTTAACATGCAATATGGCCCAGTTTTGAAAGGCAACAAGTGGAGTACCCTAGGGGTGCAAGTGTGATTTGTGTATCCATTTTCGTGCTCATTTGTCTTGAGATTAGGTCATAACTATTTTTTTTCGTTTTTCGCATACAAATCCTAATTCTAACATGGCATAATTAGAAAGCAATAAAGTGCGAAAATAAATTTACTAAGCTATTACAAAACCAAATATGGGAAGGGGGGGTACAAATGTTCAAATGGGGATATTGACGAGTAATGTAAACCTAAAACTATTACATCAATATTGAATTTATACAATTTAATCAATGTACAATAATTAAACAAAATGGAACAAAATATGCAAGATGCCAAAATGTTTTGTATATGTATAAAAAAAGTATTATTTATGTAAAAATAAAAGATAATAAAAAGATATTATTTTTTGGAGTTTTTTCATATTTAGGGCAAAACCCTAATTCTATTAAATAAAATGTATTATTATTTAATTTAATTAAGTATTTATTTATTATGTACAAAAAATAAAAATAAAATGAAGTATATTATAAAAAGTATTTTTTTTTATATCAAATATTAATAAAAGGAAAAATTCAAATATTTTTATATTCTAACCTAAATATATTAATAAACATATATATATATATATATATATATATATATATATATATATATATATATATATATATATATATATATATATATATATATATATATATATATATATATATATATATATATATATATATATATATATATATATATATATATATATATATATATATATATATATATATATATATATATATATATATATATATATATATATATATATATATATATATATATATATATATATATATATTAAGTTCTAAATATGCATTATATATAAAAATAATATATATTTAACATTTAATAAAAAAAGTATTTTTTATGTGAAATATTTTCAGAAAGTAAACAAAAATAAAAATGTATAGAAATGCATTTACACTATTTTTAGTATTTTAAATAAAATATATATATTTATCTATTTATGTATAAACCAAAAGAAAATTATATAAATGCCTAATAAAATCAAAAATGGTGAGAAAAAATATTTTTATTTTTTTTATGTCATGAGAAAAAATAAACAAAGTCAATCAAAAAAGAAAAAAGTCAAAAAGTCAAGGAAATAAGCAAATGGGCCTTGGGGGTGTAAAAGCAATTAAGGGGTGTGAATAAGAAAAAATACACAGGCCCAGCCCAAAGACCACTGTCTTCAACCTCCAGCAACAATATT